AAAAAAGAGACGCTATTCGTGAACAATATCTTTTTTATCTTTTTTCTTTTTTTAAAAAAAAGTCTAGACTAAACTAAGGGCCTTACAATATTATCGATATAACGGAATATTGCACTGTACAGAATGGAATTCATAACGGCGAGTTGGCAATGAGCGAAATTGCGCCTCAATTTGGCTTCTTATCAAATGGACAATTAACAAGGCTTAGAATGCAAGTAGCTGAACCATACGAGAAGGAACCAGCAAGAAACAATTCACAACATGGCTTGACTCAGTTGCTTTGGATTTGAATTTTTTCATTCGCGTCTTCCACTTCATTCGGCACTCTTGTTTCATCAGCAGTTGGTACTGTATCCATATTTTGTTGCCCAGGACTTTTACGATATTAGTAAGTATTTTGGTGCATCGGACGTTTGCTACAACATTTTCCCACAWCCTTCCCAAATGACTGTAGCATGCTACGAATGATTCTTATGTATGCTGCACGGAATAGGCGGATTTGTACCATTTCAATCATGATTAAAAAAGAAAAAAAAAACAAGATCTTTCTCCAAAGGTAGCATACTTTAGAAATAATTACTTTTTGTTTGACTTCGAAATAAATTGGACCCAACTTAACACATTAGCATGGAAAAAATAATTATTTTCTCGAGGAACACATGGTGTACGGTATAGAAATGAAAGAAAGTTATAGTGCTTAGAAGGAGGCAATTCCGGGAGAAGTCCCTTAGGAATAAATTCGGAAAAATTAATTTCCGACCTCGCTGGGATACGAACCCACGACCTTCGGATTTGTACACCGATGCTCTACCAGCTGAGCTACAAGGCCAGACTGGGAGCAGGTCGGGGTGAAATAGATGTTAAGCTTGCGGTAATAGAATAATGTAAAGATATGAATATGAAGACCGCATGGTATGATTGTTTATACCATGATGGCTTGGGATTTTTTTTAATTTTCGCTTACGTATTTTAATTTCGAAAATCTTTCAAGAGATTCAGTTTCAAGAGCCACGAAAATCATCAAAACTAAAATCTTACGCAGTAATATATATGATCAAGAAGAAGATTTTTATTGATAATATTAAACGGCATGGCTTCGTTGAAAGTAGAAATTAGGTCTCCGACATCTCCTTTCATCACTCGAGTTCTCTCAAAGGGAAGGCTAATTTTAAAATGATAAAGCGACAACGAGTCAATAATAGCCATGAGGCTAAAGTGGAGCGGTTTGTTTCAATATCGCCATGGATAGGCAATAGCTCTATCACTATTCTTAACGCGATAAAGCAAATACATGTACAGTCGTTTGCAAAAATTCTGACCGCTTACATTTATTATTATGTTTGGAGCATCATGGGTAATATCATGAAATTTTTGCTGTTTTCTCGCTAAGACAGATTGCATATCATTAGAATACTTTGAAGTTATGTTTATTATTTGCATTTAGATTACAACTTAAAGTTTTGAATTTGAAATATCAACTACCCTTTTTATTGATATATTTATATAAATTAGTGGCCAGATCGCCTTTCTTAAGAATGGATCAATATTCAAGTTAATCTGAAATCATTCTCTCGATGATATCTCTTGGTGGGCTCCTTTAGATTTGGATTGCTCTGCCTTCGCCTTGCATTTGATAAACTTTGAAATGAACAGGAAAATGTTTTTCAGAATGTTGGAAGCTGTGCCAAGCACTAGGGAATCAGGAAGCGTCATGACAGCTGCTATCGTCAGAGAGCGACATTCAATTCTCCGTTTCTATTTTCACTCGACGTCTGTCTTAGATTTGTGTTATTTCACTCGCGTCAATTATTTCAATAGATGCATTTGGTGTGCTTAGTGATAAAGGAAAAGGCACATTAGCATTAGGTGCTGCATGTACATTTTGGCGCTCGGTAATCTTCCTACATGGCTGAAACATTCTAGTGATGATTCTTGAGTAAGCTGCGCGAAAGTGACGGATTCTCAAACTGTAAACAATGAAGTTCATAGACGAGTTTGTCAAGTAAATTGTACGAATCCACAACAGCGTTGGATCAAGCGAGCAGCCTGCCGAAGTATCAGTCTG